AAACTGAACCGTTACACCGAATATCGTCAAATACAATACCAGCCATCTCTTAATCACACTCAATAAATGTGCCAAAGTAGAAGGCGATATCTCAAAAATTGCGGAGGTGAGAGCGCGAACAATTTTGCGAACACACATACAGGTGCACAGACTTTTTTTTTAAAAATGTGTTTTTTTGAGTTTTTAAAACATTCTAAACCCATTGGCAATGAAAACTGGAAAAAAATTTTTCGCATCGAAACAAAGCTTCCTCTATAAGGAAGCAAAATTGTGTTTTTTGAGTTTTTAAAACATTCTAAACCCATTGGCATTGAAAACTGGAAAAAAATTTTTCGCATGAAAACAAAGCTTCCTCTATGAGGAAGCAATTATTTTTTCATGGTATGGGATCAAACGCCGAAACCTGGCTGCTGACAGCGACTTTTTATGGTATGCGCACGTTATCTCTAAGTATAAAATATTCTTCGCCAACTAACAATTCTTCGATGCATTGTCTACAAAATATTGCTCGTTTTACGTAATAATTCATCGTGCCTGTGCTTATAACTGATGTAGAGCGACTGAGATATTATTTCTATGTCAGATCTGATTTAACCCACCACTTTTTTTCAACGGTGAAGTCATAAAACACAAAAAATGCAAATCTTTCATTTTTAATAGTGTCAATGTACAGCTGCGGTAACAACAATTTTAATGTCCATTTATATTATATTTCTCAAAGATATTCGTGATAAGACAAATGTTACGTCTTGTGTTGATTGGGAATAAATAAATTGTAATTTTCGTCTATGTCACTGACCATCTTATTGACCATGCCTTCATATAAAATATAATAATGATTAAATTTGCAGAAGTCATTCGGTATCTTTTCCCAAAATGTACATCTTCCTTCTAAATCAATGCAATCGCCACTCAAGTAGTGGCAATGTGTTCCAATTTTTAAATGAATTTTATTTATTTCAATATTAGTTAATGCTTGATAAGAATTTAGGCTTATTGTGATTATTCCTTGTACAACAACATTCTGTCAGGTTCCATAAGGATGCGGGGAAGGGGAGGTCCGCGGCGCGTGCATGTAATAGATATCACCGGGATGTCTTTGATTAGCACAGACACACAGCTGCGCGTATCCATGGCACGAGTCATGAGGTCAAGCGCCGAAACCTGGCTGCTGACGGCGACTTCCTTATCAAGGTGCATGATGTCAGAGAGTTCCGCGTTTATACTAGCACCTACTAAGTTACATGTAATACATATCGTTTCGACACCTTTTTTAATAGCGCGAACACCTGGGTAGTACATTGTGATAATATCTACCACAAATTATTACCCATGTTTTCAACTGTACTAGTACAGTTTTGTGGTAGATATTAGTTGCCTTCTCATTCAATACTATTTTTTTGTAAGTAAGTAACCGGCAAAAACTGGTCTTCGGCTGGAGAATATTAATATAATTATTGTAAGTTTAATTTTGCGCATTTTAATCGTCGTAATTAATTTTTATCAGCGAAACTTTGATAAATCGATAGCGTCTCACGTGTAAGAACTTACACATAAAGGAAAATGGAGCGCGTACTCGAGAACGCGGTTTGAAGCTGACCTGCGAAATGAGGGATTTTATTTTCGAAGGCATTTTAACGTCGCTCCCAACGGAATGGCTAAGCCGTTTGGTGTGCCTCCTGATAACCGCCCGTCCCCGACTCAAAAGATCTTGCCGGCGTTTCCCATTCAATAATAATTCATGGTATACATGCGCGCGAGGTGCCCCGGCGATCCTTTCTCAAGGAACAGCCATAAATGCCGACCTACGTTAATAACCATATTTTTGTACCTCACAATGAATATTAATTGTCTGCCATTAATTATTGTTCTCTTTTTTCCTTCTCAGCTTATCTCACAGATAGCATTAACCGTCTCCCTTCCACCTTTAGTCTTAAGTGGCATAGCCCAAGCATGCTTGCTCAACACATCGACGACGGTGAGTATGTAGTGATAACCTCTGTTGAAACGTGAGTATGCATACATGTCTACGATGTCGGCCTGCCACAGATCATCGTATCCTCGAACTATGACGCGTCTTCGTGGAAAATTCTTTCTCACCGGAGCATGCAGCTCCTCGATGTTAAAATCTAATGGATGTAACGACGAGTCTTCGTTTCTCGGACTCGTTACATCCATTAGATTTTAACGATCTCATGTCTCGGCGGTACAACCGTCGACGTAATGATACGCGCAAAAAGGGTACCATGCGATATATGTTTTTAACAGCTCCGAAATACAGACCTGTTTCCGAATTACAGACCCGTTACCGAAATACGGACCTGTTTCCGAAATACAGAACTGTTTCCGAATTACAACACCGTTCCCCACATGTTTATTTCCGATCGCCGACATCTTTCAATAACCATTCACACGTCTCCGGGGAAAATTCCTTCTCACCGGAGCATGCAGCTCCTCGATGAGTCTTCGTTTCTCGGACTCGTTTCGTCCATTGAATTTTAACGATCTCATGTCTCGGCGGCAGTGATGTTAGATTTGCTCCCTTTTCGGGCATGCGCAGTGCAGATCTAGTGAAATCCAGTAACGGCGACATGCTCAGAAAGTGGGAACCTATTGTTTTGCGGGACGGCCGGCGAAACATCGCAGCGAGGAGGATCATAACCAATATGAAGGTAAGGTAAGTCGGTATAAATATTTTATTTAATGTTATTATAATTTAAGTGTGCATTATGGATCCAAATGTCGCTAAAGGAGCCATTAAGAAAGAAACTAGCAGACATTTTAGAAATTCGTGGTTAGATGAAGAAATTTTTAAGGGATGGTTAGCTCCCCATTTCGAACCTAATAAAGCATTTTGTATGGTTTGTAACACCAGCATTACATGTTGTAAAACGAAGATAGTCAGACATTCACAGACAGCTAAACATATAAACGAAATTAAAGGTCGAAATCAAAGTCTCAATAATGTCAATTGTGTCAGCACTCTTTCACATAATGATAAAGTAAAACGCGCGGAAATAAAATTAGCTACTTTTTTTGCTGAACACAATATTGCTTTTACTAACGTAGATCATCTAATTCCTTTGATAAAAGACATTTGCATAGAACCTGAAGTTGTACAAGATTTGTCACTGGGTCGTCTGAAATGTACAAATATTGTAAAAGATATAGTAGCAAAACGCGAAACAGAAAAACTCGTTGAAATTTTGAAAGGACGAAAATTTTCTGTATTGATTGATGAAAGTACGGATATTACAGATAATAAACTTATGTGTATACTTGTCCAATATGTTTCACCATTTGATAAAAGAGTAAAAACACAATTATTAGAATTATTGTCATTAAATGCCGTGGACTGTAGTGCAAAAAAAATTTTTGAGGTTTTTAAAACTTTTTTCTTAGAAAAAGAAATTCCGATAAAAAATATAATTGGAATGGCATGTGATAATGCTTCTGTAATGATCGGACGTAATAATTCTTTTTTTTCACATTTAAAATCTGAAGTTCCAAATTTAATAATATAAAAATGTATTTGCCATTCCTCCGCGATTATAGCAAGTAAAGCATGTGCAAAATTACCGCAAAATTGTGAAATTTTATTTAGAAATGTTGCCAGTTACATTTCGGGCAGTGCAAAACGATGTGCAATTTTAGGAGAGTTTCAAGACTTTTATAACGTTGAACGAAATAAGATTTTAAAATTGTGTAACACTAGATGGTTAGTTTTGCATAAATGTGTAGTTCGATTACTCAATAATTGGACTGTACTAAAAAGCTATTTTACTTTAGCAGTTGTAGAGGATAAATGTAAATCTGCTGAAGATATTTTAATACTTTTAAATGATGCTTCAATTAGAGCTTATTTATTATTTTTAAAATATTCATTGGATTGTTTTAATAAATTTAATGGCTTATTTCAATCGCGCAAAATTTTAATACACAAATTGTTTGCTCAAAGTAATATAATAATAAATTTAATAACTGAAAATTTTATTATTTCTGAGGCATTGAACAACATCACTACTTCGAATGTAGATGATGAAAAAAACATCAAAAATTTGACCGATATATATGTTGGGCCGGAATGTGAAAATTTTTTATTAGGATATTCTGTAGAATTTGTGCAACAAATTAAATTAACATGTTTAGATTTTTATAAAACAACATTAAAGGAAATGACACAACGCTTACCCTATAACGATAACTTTTTTGAGCAATTAAATTTTCTAGAAGGAAAAGTTGCACTTTATCACGAGAATAGAAATAAATTTAAAGATTTATCAAATATTGCCAACCATATAACTTTAGAAAATATTAATATTACAAAATTACCAATAGAGTGGCGAATTTTACCATCAATTTTTAATAATTCAGAAAAAGAAGAATTAACATGTCTTGAAGTTGATGCAATGTGGAAAAAAATATTAAGTTTTAAAGATGAAATTAATGACGAGAAAATGTTTCCAAATTTAGAATTCTTAGTAGAAGCAGTTTTGTCTTTACCACATTCTAATGCTGAAGCGGAACGAATATTTTCAATTGTAACTGACGTCAAGAATAAGAAACGAAATAAATTATCCAATGATACCATTTCAGCTATTTGTAGAGTTAGATCATATTTTCAGTCTGAGGATATTAATTGCATGAATTTTGAAGTTGATTCAAGACATTTGGATCTTCATAATGCACAAAATTTATATTTAAAAAAGATTAATTTTTTTATTTAAATTTTTTATTTTTAAACATGTATTTATTTATTATATTGTTTATCTTAACATACAGATATATATTTTTAATTTCAATTTTATTAAGTCACATATGTCTGGTCAATTTTTATCATATGCTAGTCATATAATATTACTAATTATTTTGTTTCGCTGAG